CCCAGGAGGCCATGAAAGATACAAGACGTGAATCTTGAGTGACATGTATGCTTATGTATTATGTGTAATTAATATGCTGTATAGCTAATAATGATTACTTGTCATCATCCAAATTTATTTTTATCACGTAATCACACCTGAGCAGGAGTGTTGTTCTACCTTTGAAGACCTACCACAGAAACACAAGACCACATGCTAAGTTCTGTCTCAACTTTAGAGAAAAAAAAAAAAAATCTTTGTCTCTTATTTTATTTCAAGTAGCCAGAAGCCAACACAAACATGAGCCAAGGATTTCACCAGGATACTCACGGATGAGGGTAGACTACTGTGAACACCTGGCCAAGGTCCCTAGCCAGACCGACAACCTCCCCAGCTATATCCAAACAGGTCTGAAACATCTCTTCACACTACAGCACTGCTTTCTGAAAAAAAATCCATTCTAGATTCAGACACTACAACTGTCTGTTTTGCTGGTCAGTTAATTGTTGGAAGGTGAAGCTCCGTGTTAAAGAAAAAAAGCTTCCAATGATTAGAAGTGAGATGAATTCTGACTCATGTTCCCTTCAACCTAGACTGAGTGTTTTGCTGTTCTCACTGAGAATTGCTCTCACAATATTTACTCTATTCATTATTTCAAAACAAATCTCTACTCTTGTTGAGACAAGACCACTGGTGTGCTTGGCAGCTGGTAGGTTTTGCTGAATGTTCCAGTTTAAATCTGGGTTTCCTTTCCACTGGCTTTTAAAAACAAGGCAGGAGGAGGGGAACCAAGCAGCAGAACAGACCAGCTTTGCTAGCACGAGCTTGTGTTAAAGAAGCTAAACAGATCAGATGCTCAGAAAATCCATGCCGACAGTGCTGTAGTTTTATCATGGGTCTCCAAGCAAGAAAGGACAAATTGCTGTGTAGTTTTGCACCCACAAAAGGTAGACTGGAATCTCCCAGATGTTTATTTCTGAGCTGGGAATGCGAAAGCTAAAGCTGCTTTGGTGGGACTCAGCAACGGATTCTTTTCCCTGCCCTGCCACAGACCTGCTGCAATAGCCTCGGCCAGTTCACACAGGGCCAGATCCGTAAAGCATCATCCACCTTCAGATGTCTGATCCCGGGATCTGTACTATGGAGACAAGCAGCCTCTTCCCGCCTCATCAGGGCAAATTAGATAAGTACGTGACAGGGCAAGGTGCTTTACCCCCTGCTGTCAGGGGTGCTGCTGGCGTGCCAGCCAGGTGATGCAGTGGAAGCCCTGCCACAGCCTCCAGCTCTCTTTCATCACCTTTGCAACCTCTGGAAAAGCACTGGAGACTTACAGTCTAAACAAGCTGAGGGCACATTTTACTTACTTCATGATAACGATGTAGATGACGTACATCAGCACTAAGACTAAGGACTCCCACCTGCAAACAAGAGCGACACAGAAAGCACATCAGAGCAAGGCACGGCAGTCAGCCGCCCGAGTCCAGCCATTCCCCACCCAGCAGGCCACACACTCACAGAAAGGCTGGACCTTTTGGGGCTGTCTTAACACACCTCTAGGAAAGCAGAAGCGTAAAGAAACGGCTCACACACCCATGTGTGATGCCTCCTTTGTTTTCTTGACTTCTGCTCTGGTTTTACTTGGCCAAATCAACCCATCAGCTAAGAACAACTGACTGAAGCCAGCAGTTCCGTGAAGAACTCGCGCACCCAAGGAACACGGACACTTCTGTAAGGACAATACCTGTGGGGGCTGCAGCAGAGGGAGGGGAGCAGTCGTCCTGCTCTGCCCACACGGGTGTCAAGCAGGTCGTGGGGCTTTTTGAAAGCGCTGAAGCACACCAGTTGTGCAGAAACAACCTTAACAAGGGGCAGCTGCTCTTTTGCTACTGCTGCTGCACAACCACTGAGAATGCAGCAGGCAGCAGTTTAAACTGCTGAGTAGATACTGTCAGGTTTTTCTCCACTGTTTCTGTGTCAAACTAATTAAATTTGTACGAAAACAAAATCGAATGTGACTTTCAGAAATTGTTCCTAGGTAATCTTTCTCATTGACCAAAATGCTGTATTCTTCATAGTTCCCTACAGCAAATTGCCAGTCCTTGTGGAAATCATCCCTGATCAGACTGCTATATCCTAAAACTCATGGGCCATTTTCTCTTTAAGAATTTTGAGACATTGCACTAACCATATCAATATCTCATTCCCTGCTTCTGGCAGTTCAATGCTCAGCTTCCGCGTTGATATGTTTTAGTTGAAGGGCACAGGCAAATACAATTGGGCTTTGAGTCAATTTTAGTTAAAAAAAACAAAACAAAACAAAGAAAAGCAAGCCATTGCAAAATTCAGTGTTTCAGAAATCCTTCTCTGAAATCAAACATAAATCTCTCAGTGAGAACAAGTTTAAGAAAACATGCAACCCAAAAAGCCTGCCTCCCCCTAGTGCTTGTAATCTAAATAAGACTGGCTGTGAGTGAAGTCAAAGCTACCACTGTCACTCTACAAGCCTTGAGAGGTGCTGAAAACAAAACCACAAAAGCAAAACAACTGAAAGTACACTTCTGAAAGTGTTTGAAGCCCTCCTAGCCTACCATACCTATTACAGTACATTTAATCACGTTCATGGGGATATCAACATAGATACAATTCTTTTTTTCTTTCTTTAAACTGGCCATTCGCTCTTTAATATTACTGTAGGAGCTTTTGTTTTTTAAATTATTAAAAACCCAAATATTGAAACACACTTATTTATGACTGCTTGGGTGGCCCTTTCCATTCCTAGGCTGCTGACAGCCCCAGCACACTGTCACCCAAGCAGCAGTCCCTGCCCTGCAGAGTGCACTGTCATCCTCGGGCTGCTGCAGGGTGGGCAGAGGGACTGACTGCCACCGCTGTACTGGGAGCCTCCTGGGCTTTCCTCTCTGGCTCAGAAAATGAGTTTTTCTAGCCTACCTTGTGCTGAGGTTTCTCTTGCAGCAGGAAACTGCTGCCTGAATTGCCCTGCAGAACTTTTTCGCTTCCTCCTCCTCTCCTGATGAACCCCACGTATTGCAGCTTTTGTGGTATAAGCAGAAGAAATGAAAAGAAAAGGGATTCACAGACGGATATACTTACCAGGAAACTTTTTCGTCATAAATAAACTGTGAAGAAAAGGTTGAAAAATAGGCACGTTACACACAAAATCACAGCTGAAAACAGGTCATCACCCAAGCAGGGGACAGAGCAGCCCAGGGCTGAGGGACCAGGCTCTGGTCGGCGCTGGCACTGCCTCCTGTCCAGCCTGTGGACCTCTCAGCCCTCAGCTCCTCTCACCCAGTAAAGGCAGGCAGGTACTCCTTCCCAAATGCCGCGGGGCCCTTGTGTAACCGGGGCTAGTGCGGCA